ATCACAGTTTGCATGTTGGAGGTTCCTAAAAGAATTAAAAAAACATTTGAGAGAGGGGTGAAGAATAGTCCATCTCTGCCTGAGGCTGTAGAGAACTGGCACCAATCAAAACACTTTTTGTGAAGCAACTGATCAATGCTGACAAAGCAAGCAACTAGTATATGAAAATAAGAGCAAACTCCAATCCCTTCTAGTACTGATAATGTTACCTAGTTTGGTAATTAAATTATCCTGGATCCTGATAATTGGCATTGCTTGATTGAGAGGACTCAAATTGCACCAACTCTGTCTGATCTTATTGGATGGAGAAAGATCATATATAATCCTCCTATGAAGTCCTTCCTGGCATAAAAAGACGGACTTCATAGGACATAATCAATGCCTTGAATTATCCCTGGAACTTCAATGGAAATCAGGGCAGCCTGTGGAACAATGGAATCATATGGGCATACAATGGCAGGCCCAGCACTGCTAATGCCATTGCATTCTGAATCAGTTGTAGCTTCTAAGTAGTCTTCAATGGCACTCTATGTACAACACACTGAAATTTTCTGACTGTGAAAGGACTACAGCATAATTGATCATCTGGAAAACTCCTGATCCTGGAAAGACTGCAACTGTTGGACAGATGAAACTGTACCAAAGCCTTAGCTGTGAATCCAAAATGACCCCTTGACTGAGCACCAAAGGAAGATATTATACAATTGAAATATAACTCTGGAAAAGGCCCAAGCTGTTTTAAAGAAACATGACAATGTATATATCAGGGACGTGCAGTCAGGGGAGGCAGTGGAGGCAGAGCCTCACCACTGTCATCATGAAAAGAAAAAGAAATGTAAAAGGAAAAAGGCAAGAGCTGAGGTCAGTTTGAGCTAGTTGCTACCAGAGTCACCATGGATGATTCTGCTTAGTACTTAACTGTTTAAAAAAGCCTCTTAAAAAGTGCCCTCTACAGGAGGCGGCAGGGAACGATGTACCTCATCTAGTCTGGAGTTTTATGATCACCTGAGCAGAGTTAAGCAAGGGTTAAAAGCTGAAAAATTCCTGACGTAGATGAGGCACGTCGTTCTCTTGCCTCCTCCTGTAGAGGGTGCTTTTTTAGAGTCTTTTTAAACAGTTAAGCACTAAGCAGAGTCATCCATTGTGACTCTGGCAGCAACTAGCTCAGCCTGACCTCAGCTCTTGCCTTTTTCCTTTTACATTTTTTTTTCTTTTCATGATGGCAGGAATCATGTGGGTC